ATCCTTACTTAAGTTATTGTAATATTATATGGGCAAGTACGTACACTACATCACTTAAACCGCTTTTTTTGCTTCAGAAACGATACATCAGGATAGCGTCAAAAGTTCCATTCACTTTCCCTACTGCACCATTGTTTAAAAAGCTCAAAATACTGTCCATAAATGACATAAATAAACTACAAACAAGTCTTTTAATGTACAAGATAATGAATAAATGTCCTTGCCTTCCTGAAAACCTTCCACGACACCTACACCTTCTTATTAAACTCAGACATCCACAACCACTTTACACGCCAATGTAATTATTTAAGGCCATCCAATGCGAAATCGAATCTCCGTCAATTTACAATCACGTACATAGGCCCAACAATTTGGAACAACCTAAGTAGAACTTTACAAATTAGTCCCTCCGTCACCATTTTCAAAAATTATACTAAAGCAACTTTCATAAATAACCCCACACATTCTTAATTTTTGTTTAAGTTTCCTTGTTTACTACTTTTCATTACTACTTTTCATAATTGTAGATAGTATTGTATCGTATTGTATTTTATTGTTTTGTTTCATTTACCCGTTACCTAGTAAGTTATTTCTTATTTATCCGATTAATTTGAATTGTTAATTAAGTTATGAAGGGAGGCCTCCTCATAAGCATTTTATGCTTCCGGCCTCCCTGCACTGTCACATTTCATTTATATTTTCTTGTGTCTGTATTTTGTTTTAAAGTGCGAATAAAAACTGAAACTGAAACTCCAAATCACGACCTTGACAACTAGACATAGATAATGTATATGGCAAACTTACCTATCCAACGGACACTCAACACAAGCGGCTACCTGGTACTACAACAGCACATCTGCTCACTATCGACTGTACTCACAGAAGTAATTCTAAAATGTTTTAGGAGTTTGTAGTTCATTCACTTGGAAGGCATGTGGGACAGGAATGTGAGCAAGAATGTAGGACTTCCACTTGGAATGCTAAGACATCCACTTGGAAGGCATGTGGGAAGAAATGTGGGAAGAATGTAAAACTTCCACTTGAAAGGCATGTGGGTATGTGGGCAAGAATTTAGGACTACGTAGGAATGTGTCCATAAAAGTGTGCCATCAACATGCCTGTAGACATGCCATGCCTGTGGAAAAAAAATGCCTGTGCAATTCCTAGAATTCTTGCAAACTACACACAATACTGTGCCATTAGGCTCCCCCCTGAGGCGTCGCCAAAAACAGATGTACAAAACAACAGCTCAGCTACCCACAACAATTCTTCCGTACCCGGAGGTAACAAAAGCATCAGTCAGACGAAAGTTTAAGCTATGATCTTGGCCCCGTTGTCAAACGCACTGTGCATTCCTGACTGTTCTACAACTTCTGACTTCCTGGCTTGTTCTACACTCCATGATGCTCAGGGTACAATAACACCGGTGTCCGCATGGGGTGTAGCCCCGGCCGGGTAAGTCGGGATGACACCGGCTGTCGTGGTCATAATGAGGACCTTGTTTACATAAAAAAAACTGTAGGCGTTCTGGTGATCACTGGAAATGACGTCCTGTGTAGTTGATGGACTACCGGGCACCGGGAGAGGAACTGTTGGCTATCACGATTAGGTTTCGGCGTATTTTTTGTGCCCCCCCCCCCAAAAAAAACCCAACCCCGACAGCCACTGGGGTCACACGGGACCACGTCCGATAGTACAAAAGCAAAACCCGTTAACTACCAGGTGGGGGCCCTTTTTGCAGTTGAGCCCTAAGTATGACTGTTGTGCGTGTTTACCTGCTACCTGCCCGTCTGTGCCGGAACTAAGTGGAAAGATTGACCGCTACAGACGGGAGGTAACATATTGACCCGTTTGTCCCACGATGCCTCCCTGTTGACCAACGTGCCGTCCATTTGGAATCACGCGTCATTTCAAACGTTCCCCAATCCGGAAAGGTCCCGACACCGATATAGGTAATCAATAGTTAAGCCCCGGCCACATACATCGTACGATGTACTGAAGAAGAATTTTGCTCTGCGACGAAAATCACCATTACACTATTGCACACATTTTCTCAAATCTGCGATATACGGCACGACCGTCACGAATAGATGCAAGGTATGTGGACTGGGAATCCGTACATGTTATCCAGCTGAGTATGGTTCCTACCACATCACGTGTCAGCTATGGTACCTACTGCGTCAGCTATATAATGGTACCTACACGTTATGGTTCCTAAACTGATATCAGCAACTACTGTACCCGCCCCATAAGTTATGGTACGTACCACGTCTATAATCTGTTGCAGGGTAACTCCTAGATTGACAGTGAGAGCGTCCGAGTCGTTTAGAACCGGACGCTCCAAGATGTTGTAATTCTTCAGGAGTTTGTCCAACAGCTTTCGTTGGTGCCGGCCCTGGAGAGAATCTGTAGACAACGGAAAGGAGTTAACATTTTAGACCCTGCAAACTTTCATCAACTTTCCACAACTGTTTTAACACCCGTCACACACCTTAAACGTGCGTCACAGTCTGTCTCTTATGTATGGGTCAGTATCGTTCAGGAAAGAAAATGATTCATCATCTAAGATTTCGACATTTACTTCTAATTTTGACATTTAGATGGGTATTGACAGTGCGTGATGCGGTAGGATATAGAAGATTGGAGAAGGAAATTCAAGTTTGGCATGTTTGCTACATTCCCCAGTTCGGTATTTGGCACGCGACGTTAACATTAAGGCCGAGAACACCGTGATTCGGCCAGTAGGCTTTCCACACCAGTGAACACATTGACTCGCCATCCTGTACTTGGCGAGGAGTAACACAATCAATCCTAAAAAGGTTCCTTCTATTCCGTTATGTCTGTCTGTCTTTCTCTGCATGTGTTTTGTGTTTGTGTT